TTAGTCTGAAACTATGTGTTGTGGTCTTTCTTTTATGTATTTCGTTATGACGTTTTGTGAAAAATCCGTACGTGATGAAGAAAAATAGATATCATTTTCGGCGTACAGGAATTACTGTAGAACATGTAAAAATTTCAAGACAATAAAACCATCGCAGGCTGTGTTTATCAGCGACGAGTATTCAGCAGGAGTTTGGGATAACAACTACAGATAGCAGCACACGTAGCACGGAAATCGAGTGACACTTAAAAGACACAACTTTGTTGCATGTACATGGGCTTATTTTTACTGAAGTATCACTGTGTCATTTGTTCATTGGTGTTTTGTTGTCAACCTTTAAACAGTAATACTTCGAGACGAGTAAGAGTTTGTTGTAACAAACAAGTTAATACTATTGTTAGAGATAAATTGACAATAAATCAAATGAAATAGATGGCGTCATCTATTCAGATGCATTTTAAATTAAATGATGTCTAATGTGAATTAAGTGTTATAATAAATTTATTATAATCTTACTCGGGCTATCAGTTATGGCGGATTACAACCTTTATTAAGGTTTGTAAAAACATCAAAGAAATTATTCAGTTTAAAACAAGTAAAAGATTGGTAAGTCGTTAGAATACATACACACTACATAAACCAGTAAGATACAATTTTTCAAGAAATCGAGTGATCGTCTCAGGGATTAATGAATAATGCTAGGCTGATCTGGCGGACCTCTTTAATCTAAGTTACTATAACAATCAGTTTGAGTACTTACTCACTTGTATCGCCGTATTTTCTAAGTATGCATGAGTTGTTCCACTCAAGAACAAGAAAGGTACGACTCTCGTCAAAACTTTCAAACAAATTTTAAAACAGGGTTGAAAACTCTGTAAACTTCAAACTGACGTTGGAACAGAATTTACTAATTGTCTGTTTCAGCGTTAACTCAAGGAACAAGACATTCACTTCTTTACTGCACATAATGAACCCAAAGCGTTTATGGTAGAACGATTTAATCGTACTCTAAAAACTAGAATCTTTCGCTATTTTATATATCAGAAAACTTTCAAGTACATGCACGTATGGAAAAAACTGTTCAAGGCCTATAATGAATCGTATCTTACAATGAGACCAACAAAGATAATCACTCTAATCAGTCTGTGGTGTGAAAGACTCTATAAATCGCCCAACAAAGTTCAAAGATCAAGTACTTAGAATGGATCGTCAATTTAAGAAAGGCTATACGCCTGGATGGAGAGAAGTAATCTTTACGATTCGTAAAAGATAAAATGGAGTAAAATCCCCTCGTGTACAAACTGTAAGACTATCTTGGAAAAATGTTAAATGTAACATTTTACGAGTCTAAACTGCAACGAGTAATCAAGTCCTCCAATAATTTCTACGCTGTTAAAAAAAAGTACTACGACAACGAGGAAAATGTAAGTACAAGCAAAATTTTGTAAAATGGATCCCTCAAGTATATCTGAAAGGTTAGCCATCATAAAATGTTAAGTATAACTGTGCTACTCATTATTGATTATGGATCAACTGTATGTGGCATTATCTAGTAATAGTTCTATGAACTGTTTTGCCAGCAATACTCTGACAAATTATGTTATTCACCTACCGAGATCTATTGATCTTGAAAGTGGCTTTGACCGATTTACAGCATCCTCATTACTGGTATAATGTACCTGATGGTAAAAGATCGATTTCCTACTTTGTAAGCCATCATTGTGCTACTGGAATCAATTGTATTAGATCCGGTCATTACAATGAACCTCAGTATTTAATTAGAGCCTTAAACCAAATAAAAGATCGATTTCCTACTTTGTAAGCCACCATTATGCTACTGGAATCAATTGTATTAGATCAGGTCATTACAATGAACCTCAGTATTTAATTAGAGCCTTAAACCAAATAAAAGATCGATTTCCTACTTTGTAAGCCATCATTGTGCTACTGGAATCAATTGTATTAGATCAGGTCATTACAATGAACCTCAGTATTTAATTAGAGCCTTAAACCAAATAAAAGAATGATTTCTTAAACCCGACAAAGAACCTATATTTACTTATGATTCGTTCACCAGAAAAGTAAATGTGAATGTAAATGGTAGAACCTTCATAAAACCCGATCCTGTACTGACAGCAGTATTTCGATTTGATAATAACTGTATTATAACAGAGCACACTATAGCTCCATATACACTGTTAACATGCACAGTGGATTTTATCCTTTCTACGCGAACACAGACATTGTGGAAACTAGTATTATTGGAGATGAGAATGTACTGCTAATATGAATCATTTTAGTTAAAGAACAAGATGGAGACATGAGCACTGAAGCTAAGTTTCAAACTATTTAGATCAATATAAAGGGCCTAACTACCGTATTTGAACAAGGGAAAGTCATCATAACCTTTCATTTTTGTCGTCAAAAGTATCTGTTACATTATGAGAGTAAGTTATTATCGTAATCCAGTTGTCTTGAAACCAGGAGCCTTAGCCATAGAAAAACAAGCTGTTCAATCTGACATAAATCTAGAATCAGATGTCATACAAGGGATATATTTTATCCATGCCAGAAAACAACGAGCAATACAAAGAGCTCAGAACCTGGCTCAAGATGTCAAGCAGTTTGTGAAATGGACTTTTCAATCTAATAACAAAAGATATTCTGTTCAAGATAGATAAAAAAAGACAAATAGCATCAAACCTAGACATTATTGACAAGTATTCATGACCCTCTTTTCTCATGAAAAATCAAATCAATGCACAAAGTCTGAGCTTGACCTTTTTTCTGTCCCTCCCACACAGATGGTGATAGACTAGAATCAGTGGACTAAATATTATCCTTTAGCTTTAATGGCTGACAGAGGACCCATCAAATTTTTATATGTGTCGGGTTCGGGGATGAATATTTAGATCCGGCACAATGATATCTCTATGTAAGTCAAAGATTATACAAACTAGATGTAACCAGTATAAAAAAAAGGAACAGATATCTTCTCCTACCTAC